TATAGGGTAAGACTATTCTACACCCGAGGTATAGAATAACTATATTCTATACCCCTCCCTCCTCCCGATCTCTCTCTTTTCTGTTTTTTCTCTCCCTGAAACATTTTTTCTCCATTTTTTCTCTTTTCTAGAAAAATAAAAAATAAATTGTCAAATTCAAGACTTGAACCCATGACCTCATAGTTCAAAGCACATTCTTCTAACCAATTCATCTAATGATGCTATTTGTTTCAAGAATTTTGCGAGAAAGTAATATGATTATCAATTCTAATATCTTTTACTACCGAAACTCATAACATGTTACTATGCTCCAGTAGTAACATTGTTGTATAAGCATAGTAACACGTGACGTTACTGTAGAACATATAGGACGTTACTGCACTTTTGGCAGTAACGTCGTAGTAAAATTGTAGTAGACCAGTAATCAAAACAAAAATATATGGGTTAAAGCCTCACATGCTAACCATATACTTGTTACTGCACAAAAGTAGAAGTGTTACTGCATAATAGGTGCATGTTACCACTTCCAAGTAGTTATGTTACTGCACGATAAACATAGTTTTACTATGTTAATTTTACGAAATGAAGATCGAATAGGTGGGCTATAGGTAAAGTCTGTAGGTGGCTTTGAGTGAGGTCTGATTGATGTACGAGTGTTTTGAACAATTTTACACATTTGGTAAAACTATGTTACTGCATGTATATACTCATGTTACTGCAAATTACATATTCTGTTACTGCATATGGAGTGCTAAAGTTCAAAATGCCAATATTTGAAAAGCAGTATCTTATAAGATATGTATTATTTTTAAAACCATTTTCACAATGATGCTATAGTGTTACTGCATGTGGAGGATATATGGGTTAATGTCTCACATGCTAAATATATTTGTTACTACACAAAAGTGGAGTGTTACTGCAAAGGCAGGTACACATTACCACATGTTTATGCAGTAACACTATCAAAAAAATGCAGTAAAACATAGTTACTGCAAAAATTTATAATTTTTACTGCACTCTTACAGTAACGATGCGATGGGATTGTAGTAACGTGCAACTGACAGTAGTAACAAGTAATGCTATAGTATTATTACTTGTGGAGAGTCAAATTCTAAAAAAGCCAAGATTTAAAAAACAATATCTCTCACATGATGTACTATTTTTTAAAATCGTATGCATCATGATGCTAGAAAAAAAATGCTTATCAAAAGTAGATCCATCATGACTATATTTTAACAATATTTGAGCGCTGTTACTATACATAAGACGTAGTGTTACTGCACATTGACCATCGCGTTACTGCACCGTTCTGCGAGACAGAGCTGAAAAGAGGTGAGTGGTGGGAGGAGTTAGCAAGTGGTTTGACCGTGGTTTGACTGACGTGGGATGCTTTTGACCAACCTTTGACTGAGGTGGGAGGTGGGTTTGGCCCTTGGGAGAGAGGGGGGGTATAGAATAGCTATTCTATTCTATACCCCAGGTGTAGAATAGTTTATATATATATATATATATATATATTGAAACATAGATATGCATAATATATACAAATCTTTAGCTGGATGCATCTTTAGTCCCGATTATTTCAACCGGTACTGATGATAGCGATTTTTAACCCCGGATTCTTGGTTCCGGTTTGCAACCCGAGACTAAAGGGGTTACAAACCAGGATTATAAACCACTTCTCCACCTGTGTCAGTTGCAAACCATTGATCTGGTCAAGGCGACATTGCTACTCTTTGCCTATAAATCAATCCATCCTTCCTCTCTTTGTATCACACACGCACCGTATTATTAGTAGCATACACATACAATGGCATCACTGACGCCATCCCTGCAAGATCTTCTCGTATCATCACTGATGATACTCCTTGTTCTCTTGTACATAGCGTATTGGAGATCAAAGTATCAGTCCTTGTTCCCAGTGGACTGGCCGATAGTAGGATTGCTCCCTACCCTCGTCGCCAACCTGCACCGCTTGCACGACTACCTCACCGACGTCCTCGCCGCCTCCGGCCATAGCTTCACGGCGCACGGCCCGGCGGCGACCAACATGCGGCTGTTCGTCACATGTGAGCCTGACAATGTCCGGCACATCTTCACCACCAACCATGATAACTACCCCAAGGGCCAGCACTTCGCCGAGATCTTCGACATCCTGGCCGGCATCCCCTTCACCATGGACGGCGAGCTCTGCCGCCGGCAGCGTGCCAAGACCCATAGCATCCTCAGCGACCCGAGGATGGTTGCCTCGATGCAATCGAGCTGCGTCGACAAGGTTCGTGATGGTCTCATCCCGTTTTTGACATCCGTGGCGAGCACCCAGACTCCGATCGAGTTGCAGGATCTGGCCACGAGGCTCATGTTCGACGTGACGGCCATGCCGGTGTTCGGCGTGGATCCTGGCTGCCTGTCCCCGGACATGCCGTCGAAGCATGTCTCGGCTGCGATGGACACGATCATGGAGGTGGCACTGTTCCGGCACACCGTGCCGCCGTTCTGCTGGAAGGCGATGAGACGGCTCAAGATTGGACCCGAGAGGAAGCTCGCCGCGGCGCACGCGGCGCTGCACGTCTTCGTCTCCGAGATGGTGGAGAAGGCGAGGACGAAGCAAGAGGAGGCAGCGCCCACCTCCATGTCCATGGACGTTATCTCCTCCTACATCAACGACCCGGACTACAACGACCTCCTGCATTCGAAACTCATCTCCTACATGGTCGCCGGGCGTGACACGGTGGGCACCACCTTGCCGTGGTTCTTCTACAACCTCGCCATGAACCCGCGCGTCGTGTCCGGCATCCGCGACGAACTGGCACCCATTGCAACAAGCACCTGCAATGGCGATGGCGCGCCGGTTATGTTCTCGCCGGACGACACGAAACCCCTCGTCTACCTGCAGGCCGCGCTGTTCGAGACGCTCAGGCTGTACCCGCCGGGGGCGATCGAGCGGAAGACGGTGGCCGCCGACGACGTGATGCCGAGCGGGCACGAGGTACATGCCGGCGACGCCGTGCTCATCTTGGTCTACTCCATGGGCAGGATGGAGAGCCTGTGGGGGGGGGGGGGGGGACTGCCGGGAGTACCGGCCGGAGAGGTGGCTTTACGACTCCGGCAAAATGAGACACGTGCCGTCGCACAAGTTCTTGGCGTTCAACTCCGGGCCGAGGATGTGCCCCGGCAAGAGCATCGCCGTGATGCAGATGAAGACCATCGCGGCCGCGGTGGTGTGGAACTTCGACGTGGAGGTGGTGGACGGGCAGACCGTGGAGCCGAAGCTGTCGTGCCTTCTGCAGATGAAGAATGGGGTCATGGTTAAGGTGAATAAGCGTGCTGTGTAACCGAGTTACGTTTCGAAAGAAGCACACCAAGGCAGGCGCGTCGCGTGCTGGATTTCTGAAGAAGGCATATGCATTCCGTAGCTTTGCTGTCCTTCTATCATTCCACAGTAAGTGTGTCTATCTATCTATCTATCTATCTATGTCTGTCTGTATGCATGTATGTGTGTATGTATGCATGCAAGCAGATTTCCCACTTTAAATAAATGATGTGTTCGACTATACGAGAATGCTTTCAGCCGAACGTCTGACAGGGCCACCATCCCACGAACTCCAAACCACCTTTCTCTTTCAATCCACAGCACTTAGGCCTTCTCCCTTCAACTCCCTTCATTTTCTCTCTCCTACCTGCTCGTTTATGTACGACCCAACGAGCGTCAAGGCTGTTGCAGGAGGCGTCGCCTCCGACGGTCCGGTCAGGAGAGAGCGTGGGTGGAGAGAAGGAGATAGAGGAGAGAGGCAGTGGGTGGGTGGGTGGGTGGATTTAAATGGGGCGCATCATTTTAAATCGGGTCAAAAATTTTTAGCCATGCTCTGCTTTTCGCTCTATATCTTTAGTAGCCGCCAGCGAAAACGCCGTTGGCGGACATTTAAGAGGTTCGCCTAAAAAAATATAGTATTTTTTATGGCGGACCTCTTAAGGTGACCGCCAGCGAAAATCAGTTTTCGCTCATGGTCCTATATCTCCCACCCCTCCTTACTTTTTTTATGGCGGTTTTAGCATATGACCGCCAGGGAAAATTACAGTGTGACGCCATGAAAAATTGTTTTTCTAGTAGTGCGTGGACCACACGGGATAATTGATTATCCCGTGCAGTCGAGTTAAGAGGACCGCATGGGATAATCTATAATCCAAATCAGCTAGCATGTGCTAGGCCGATCGCACGGGATAATGCTAGCCGTTTGGGTTACGTCGTCTATTTCTTTTTGTGCTTTCGAATCGTCATATGCATAATATTACGCGCTCTAGCAGTTACATATAAATTATACGAGCACACAATTAGAAACATCGATATATATAATTACATTGCATATGTACATGTATCTAGTGTTCATAATATTACAAGTTATGACTCCCTCACAAATATATATTGTTTATTCCAGTGCATGTTCTCTCTCCCAGTCCATTAGGATTTTGAATTGGGGGTCCGTTGCAAGTTTGTTGTAAGGGTCGTAGAACTTCCCTAGATGGTTGCAGATGTCACGGCGAATGAACCGGCATAAGTCCGCGCAGAAGTTGAGAAGCGTTTTCTGGTCGAACCGGTTTGCGGTATATGGGATACTCGCGAGCTATGGAAAATAGAAGAAAAAGAAAATGTGTTGAAAGCAATTTAAATGAACTATCTCCTATATGTAAGGTGCACGATAACTTACATACGTAAACTCAGCTCTGTATTGAGAGGGGGTGGTTAGGGGACAAAATCAAACACCTAGGGGAGTTATGAACAGTGCTAGTGGATGGTTAAATAACTTTTAGGGTATTTAGGCTATTTGGAATATTGAACTATTGCCACAATTTCAACCTAAAGTAAATTATGCCATGACAACAGTAATTCATTTAAATTTGTATTAAATTTTAATATTGCCCATATTCTTATTTTATTATTTATTTTCCTGTTTTCCACCACATAGGGTTTTGGATTGCTTTTCAATTTTCGGATCGCCGTGATGCAGATGAAGACCATCGCGGCCGCGGTGGTGTGGAACTTCGACGTGGAGGTGGTGGACGGGCAGACCGTGGAGCCGAAGCTGTCGTGCCTTCTGCAGATGAAGAATGGGGTCATGGTTAAGGTGAGTAAGCGTGCTGTGTAACCGAGTTACGTTTCGAAAGACGCACACCAAGGCAGGCGCGTCGTGCCGGATTTCTGAAGAAGGCATATGCATTCGGTAGCTTGCTGTCCTTTTATCATTCCACAGTAAGTGTGTCTGTCTATCTATCTATCTATTTATGTATCTGTATGTCTGTAGTGTATGTATGTATGTATGTATGCAAGCAGATTTCCTACTATACGAGAATGCTTTCAGCCGAACATCCGGCGTATACTGAAAAAAGTTCGGACACTGACAGGGCCACCATCCCACGAACTCCAAACTACCTTTATCTTTCAATCTACAGAACTTAGGCCTTCTCCCTTTAACTCCATTTTCTCTCTCCTACCTGCTCGTTTATGTACGACCCAACGAGCGTCGAGGCTGTTGTAGGAGTCGTCGCCTCCGACGATCCAGTCAAGTATGTCAATTTCAGGGCCTGTTTAGTTCCCACGCTGTCACATGAAATATTTGGATAAATAAATAAAGTATTAAATGTAGATAAAAAACAATTACATAGTTCACAAGGAAATTGCGAGACGAATCTTTTAAGCCTAATTGCGCCATGATTCGACAATGTGGTGTTACAGTAAATATTTGCTCATGACTAATTAATTAGGCTTAATAAATTCGGAATCTGTAATTTATTTTATCATTAGATTACATTTAATACTTCAAATGTGTGTCCGTATATCCGATGTGATATGCAGGGGTAAATTTTTTTTGGCCAACTAAACAAGCTCTCAGTTGATGATTTCCGAAATTTTGTTTATGTACAAGAAAATATGCCAGCCGAATTTTTTTTCATTTTTTTAAATTTGATCAACGATTTCTAAAATTCAATAAAATTTTGTTAAATTTTTATATAATTTCCAGAAAAAGGTATGAAAAATCCTGAAATTATTCAAAATTTCGGCGCATCGAAAATTCTGAACTTTCGGACCAAAACGAAATTGACAACCCTGCATCCGACCCTGTTGCCGATTGCTCCATCACGAGCATGCTCCAGTTCACCCTCACCTCCGCGGCTCCAGCGGCCATGATACAAGACTCTGTTCTGTAGCGCCATCCCCCGTTCAATGAGAAGCTCACCGAACTTGTCCACCGTCTCTTCTCGATAGCCTCGCCATCCCGGCATCGCCTCCACCTGCGTGAGCGCGCCGCTACATGCTCCAATAGTCAATACTCAAGCTCCGACTTGTTGTAGTTTAGTCTGTATCTTTGTTATTCTTGGTGTTATTCGAGTGTTTCATCATCTTTTGGTTGGATATGATGTGCATGTTTTTTTTTTTCGTTGTTGCACATAACAGGCTCTTGGTTTTGCACTTAGTTTGTTCAATGTTGCATGTGGCTAGAAAGACTATAGGGGATTTCAAACCAAACTGGACTAACTAATTTCATCCGAGTGGGCTCTCAACCCATTTCAAGCCTATCGGCTCTGATCGCAGGCTCTCATGGCCCATGCAGCAGCCCGGTAGGATGTGGCCCTGCAGTCTGGTGGATAAACGGTCGGGCAGTGATGCTACGAATAAACAATTTCTTTTCTGCGAACACAACATTTGTGATTAACAATAAAATCATAATTAATTTCAATGAGAAAAAAGTATGAATTGCCCAAATTACAGTACCCAATAATTTTAATCATAAACTTTTCAAACCGGATAAATTACCCCCCTAACTCAGCTCGAAGCGGTTTTGATCTAACGTTGCATTCAAGTCAACCAAAAATAATAAAAGATAGTGGGCCCCACTTGTCAGCATCTTCTCCTCTCTTCTGCTTTCTTCTACCTCCTTCCCCTCCAATCCATCTCTCTTTCTCTCTCTCACCAAGGAGCACGGAGGAACAGCGCAATGGCATCACCAGCACGGGAGGAGAGGAGCAGCAGGCAGCGCGTGTCTTGCGGCCGCAAGACACGCGCTAGGGATGGCGGAGGACTGCGCGACAATCTAGGCTATGGCAGCGGCAGCTTTCCTAGGGAGGAAACAGGTCAGCGGCGGGCGACGCTTAGCAGTGCGGCAGGCGGCAATGGTGTGCAAGACGAGGGTGGCGATACGGGATGTGACCTCGTCTTCCATCGACGCGCGGGAGGGCTGCCGGACGTCGTCGTCGTCGTCGTCCTTGATGTGGCCGGGGAAGACAGCATCGTCGGCCGGTGTGAAGCCATGCCGGAGAACCACACCGCCATGAGGAGGATCGCCATGCCGAAGACTTCCTGCAACCTGCAGATGCTCCTCAGGACCACCTGCATCATGATCTGGACCAGTCCATGGACGCCGCCAACTCGATCCCTCATCAAACAGAAATCGTCCTACCATGATCCATCCAGCCAGAGATCTGAAATGAAAAAAAAATGCTCCTGCTACGAAGTTGTACATCTCATCGAGAGAGCTATTTTTTTATAAAGTGTATAGAACTATTAGTACGAACGCATCGCGCTGATTATTAATCCATACATCCTCCTCATCCCATCCCCGATCCAACATCCCACGTAGCTCTGACCGGTTGTAATTTATTTACTATCCCCCACTGTTGTGTATTCTAACTAGATGATGCCCCGCGCTTTGCTGCGGGATATATGTTAGATAATAGAAAAATGATGAAATAATTTGGATTGAAATATTATGAAAATGATTTGAGAATGATGATCTAGCATGTGAATGTTTAGTTTTAGAGTGAAGTAAATTGTTGATATCATTACTGTATGCTTGCATGCATGTTGAGCTTTGTGTGCATAATGGATTGATGTGGCATGCTTGCATGTATGTTTTACGAGCGCTAATAGATACTATGTTTGCATGTTGAGGTTTAGGTGTTCAGTGGGCATTAGCTTTATAGAAAGAATAGATTAATCTGATAATAACCACCATCCACTTCTCCCTCTCATCCCTAATTTTTTGGATCTAGCCTACCAAAACTCTGCAGGAGAGCGAGATCGGCGACGAAGTAGTTCCGGCGAGACCAAGCAGGACTCCCTTTCCATGATGGAGCAACGGGGCCTTGACGGTGCCGGCATGTGGATCTGGACAGAGGTTGGGTCTAGGAGGGACAACGAGGAGCTGTGCTGTCGTTGACAATGTGGGAGGAGGAAGCCACCGCCGGATCTGGAGATGACGAGGCTCTAGCGATGGTTCCGAGCGTCACCGCCTCCTCCCTTTGGGGTCCATCATTGTGAGGTATATGGGTCCACTGTGTGCTCGTTGCCGGTCTAATCCCCGATGCCGGCTGCTCCAAGCCTGCGGTGGCCGATGAACTCGGGATTCATCGCAGCTATGGCGTTCAGGGAGGAACTGACTCCCCTCCACCAATCTTCACTTTTGTGGCTGCAGGCTGCTTGGCACCTTGCCGAAGCGTGAAAAATGGCTTGGTCTCGAGCGACTGGCAAGGGGCGCCACCGGCACGAGTAGCAGTGGACGAGGTGACGGCAACGGTGATCTTCGAGCCCCATCTGGCGGAGGTCAGGGCCTAGGTAGCCGGAACACATGCAGGGAAGCCAGGCCCCTTCTGTGGCTCACTGGCGTGGCATTTTCACTGGTCGCGTCCTCCCTTGGCAACAGCCACGTGTTCCTCCGATCCGATCTTCGTCATTATCATTACCATTGTGATTATTAATTGTGGGTTTATGATCGCCTAGGTCTAGGATGGCCTCTGTGTAGGAATTTAGGGTGGATGGATGGAACGTTGCCCTTCGTCGTGCTAGGGTCGACGGCTGCGTGTTATCACATGCACTCCAATCGGTGCGGATGAATAACAGATAGAGTCTTGCCGGTATAATCCTAACAACAAATCTTAAAAAACTCTATCTAGACTACCAGCCGACTTTTATCCATATCACATGTGTTACATATAATGATAAACTCCAACACTCCCCCTCAATCTAAACTTCCCAAGTTAAGACTGTATCTAAACATCTCTAATTGTTTGACTTAAAGAGGTTTGGTGAAGCCATCAGCAACTTGATCTTCAGAGGAAACATACTCAACTTCAAGCAATTTGTTCAGAATACGTTTTTTTTGACCGGATTGTTCAGAATACGTTCTGACAAAATGATAATCTACCTCTATGTGTTTAGTGCGAGCATGAAAAACTAGATTAGCTGATAAATGCTTCGCACCAATATTATCACACCAAATCTTTGCTTCCCTTGGCACTTGAATACCGAGTTCATTTAATAGTGTTTGAATTCACATTACCTCAACTGTAGCATTAACTAGTGCCTTGTATTCTGCTTCTGTGTTGGACCTGGAAACTGTTACTGGTTTTCTTGCACTCCATTACACAAAATTAGAACCAAGATAAACTGCAAAACCTCCGGTAGATCGCATGTCATCAAGACAGCCAGCTCAATCTGCATCTGTAAAAGCACTAACAAGAGTAGATACTGATCTACTAAACTTTAACCCCAAACATGAAGTATACTTAAGATACCTTAGTATCCTTTTTACTGCTGCCCAGTAAACTGCAGTAGGAGTATGTAAGAACTAGCATACCTTATTGACTGAAAAAGATATATCTGGCCTAGTCAAAGTTAAGTACTGCAAGGCTCCTACTATGCTCCTATATTGAGTAGCATCATTAGACCCAAACAAATCTCCTTCATGAAGAGATATTTTTTCTATAGTTGACAAGGGCGTGTTCACTGGTTTGCAATCTATCATATTTGTTCTCTTCAACACATCAGCTATATACTTCCCTTGTGACAAAACTAAACCATTGTTTACCTTATTAATTCAGTTCCAAGGAAGCAGTGTAACTCCCAAGATCCTTCAAGGCAAAGTCTTCTTTAAGGTCCTGTAAGAGAGCTGACACCGCACCTTGGGTGGAGCTTGCAACTATAATATCATCCACATATATCAAGATAAATATGGTTATATTACCTTTGTTGAAGTAGAACAAAGATGTGTCAGCCTTGGAAGGCTTAAAACCCAGTTGTTGCAGTTTTCCACTTAACCTTGCATACTAGGCTCTAGGCGCTTGTTTCAGG